AAAATGGAAACTACTATAGTATATAGGGTTTAGGGTTTAGGGTTTAGGGTTTAGGGAATATTGGGGTTATATTAGGGTTATATTGGGAGAATGGAAAATAAAATGGAAACTACTATAGTATATAGGGTTTAGGGTTTAGGGTTTAGGGAATATTGGGGTTATATTGGGGTTATCTTGGGATGATGGAAAATAAAATGGAAACTACTATAGTATATTGGGGTTATATAGGGGTTACATTGGGGCAATATTGGGATAAGGGAAAATAAAATGGAAACTACTACAGTATCATAGGGTATATATTGGGAGGATGGAAAATAAAATTGAAACTATAGGTAGTATAGGGGTTATATACTGTAGGGATTATATAGGATATATGTATATATATATATACATTTTTTTGTTGGGGGGGATTGTAGGGGGTTTAGGATGGAAGGTCTTAGGTTCTGGCCTTTGGGCTTGAAGAGTTTGGAACTTCCGGTTGTAGGATTTAGGATGTGCAGGTAGGGTTCTGCAGCATGACAGTCACCTGGCTGGGGCGTAAGGGGTCAAGTTTGATGACGTCGAAAGGCTGTCACACCCAAGACAGCTAAGATAATTCGACTAGTATGTTGTTGTCTGTGTGCAGGTCCGCAAGCAAACCTTCTAGGAGCAAGAGCTTGTTGCAAGATGCCGACTGATGATCCCCACATTGTTGGGAATTCAGAAGAATGGCGCGTCTTGTTGAGGCCAAGATCTTGCAGATATCCGATAATCAGTTGCCATGACATCGCTCCCTGGTTGGGGCAATAGGGCGCAGAGAGACCCAAACCATGAACCTGAAACCCGAAGCCTTAACCTTCCCCTCCCCCTCACCCCAAATCCGTAGAACCCCTAACCTCAACCCCTCAACCCCCATATCTTCGACCCTGCTCCTGAGGCCATCCCGAACTGCTGTGAAGGAGCTTTTTAAAGTCCCTTTCTAAGGAAACCATAATTACCAAGTATACTCATTATGGTATGGTTCCACCCTCAAAAGGATCTGACTGTGTAAGCCACTCATACACCTTCCAGACGGAATCCACAGCAACCCTATATGTAGTTGCCACAGTTCTACCTAACCATGAGTCTTTAAGTGTTCCGGGTCTGCATGGATCCTTACATTCATAAACCTGGACAGGTGCTGCCTGCAGTGGTCCCTGTAGATGCAGCCAAGCTAGAGGCCTGCTGCAAAAGTCCGGTTCTACTGCGAGCACATGATGGGGGAGCACATTTGGGGAAAACAAATTTTGAGAGAGGCTGTTGGGGGTTCAATCGGTCAATTTTGGAGTGCAATGGATTCTGTAGACCTCGACAAATTGCAGGCATTTGTGCCTACCAGTCTACATTTTACTCCTCCAAACATTAGCTCATGAAAGTGATCCTCCGGAAGAGACCACTCAAAATTTGCGCCTTCTCAAATTTCAGAACTTCTCATGCTTCAATAGTATGTGGCGCTGGTGTTTTTGTGAGCAGACACAGGGAGAGGTGTCATTTACAATTTCTGAGGACTTGCAAATAGTCAGTGGCACGCTGCTTTCGTCCTTTGTGCACTGCACGTCTAGACATGAAGCATGAGGTCCCAGGGCTAAGCCCTTGGGTCCCAGATGAGACTCACGTCGAGATTGTACCCGCCCTGTTTCAGTCATGGAGTTCAAGTGTTGTCCCTGTATAGTCTCCATATAACCCCTATATCCATTCGTTATAGTCCCTCTATAACCCCACTGAAGTCCTGTGTTGGTGTCCTTTGTGCACATCGAGCACCCATTTTGTCGAGAAGGGCCTGAGCTCTATTCCTAATTTGGTGAGAAGCAAGCAATCGTGTGGTAGCCGATCAGACGACTCTTTTTCAACTCAGCAGCCCCCTTTTGGATCTCTTGCTTATGCAACATATTACAGGCCTTGTCTTACGAATTTCCATGACAAGAAATGTTAAATTTGAATAAGACTGGTGTCCTGTCGCCAGATTGTAGCTAGATGTTTTCAGCAGCCTTGCTTTGTGCAGGCTTCTTTGCGTGGCTCGCTGTGGCGCGAGTGGGACCGCACATGCTCCATGCTCTTCTTTTTGGTGATGAGGCATGCGCTTCCTAAGTGCTGTTTGTAGACTTTCCTCCCCCTCCTCCTTCTACTCCTTCTTGTTCCTGTTTTCTATCCTTGTTGCTGTCATTGGTGCAGCCGTAGCTGCCAGTGCCACCGTTAGTCATGCCACGCGAGCCTTGCTTCTGTTAAGCTGGATCTGACCTCTGCTGAGAATCTCTGTCGATGTACCACTGAAACTAGGGTACCCATCTTGTGATTCAATTGTGACGAGACAACGAGACAATGCAGCTCAGAACATGGGAGAATTTGAAGGGATGCCGGGAACTGGGACTTGCGGACCGGATTGGAGGTAAACTGATCCCGACTGCAATCCCAACATGGACTGGATAGCTGATCAGGCTTCCATCCATGCTACACTCTGTGCCCTGCATCCAAGCGCAAACCAAAATCCATTGGCAAAGCCTCATGCAGGACCCAGCTGGTGAAGGTCGGATCTCACGAAAAGCTTTCTGTGCAGAACGAGGTCTGCTGTGCAGCCCCTAGCTGTCTGTCTTAGGAGCCGATGCAAGATCCCTTCACCTCCAATTCATGAGGACTGTTTGCACCGTTTGAGATATTATTCAAGTATTCCTCTGATGGACGGAAAACTGTGCCACCACCCTCTGGTGGACACAGCTTGCCATAGTCGGAATCACCTGGCGGCAATCGAAGCCGTTGAGATCAAACAAGGGACCTTGTGCCGTGCGCTTCCATGATGACACGGCCAGACTCCGCGCAGGAGCAATGTTGCATCTGCCTGGACAGCTTAGGCACTCCGGGTCTCGGCTGCCAGAAGCTTCCTTGCGGGCATACTCTCCATGAGCGTTGCGTCAACGAGTTGCGCCAGCATGGCGTGGCAGTGGCTTGCCCACTTTGCCGTGAGCATCTCCCGGATTTGCCTCCAGTTGATGTACTGTATGGCGAGGCGTTCATATTGAAGCTGCGCCAAGAGTACACGCAGGCCTTCCAGAAACTTGAGGAAGTGCTTGAAATCCAGCCAAGTCACGGAGAGGCTTGTGGGATGAAAGCATCCTTCTTTGACACTGGAAATGGGGTACCGCAAAGTGATGTGCTGGCTGCTGAGTGGTACGAACGAGCTCTGCAACTTGGCCTCAAGCCCTACAACAATCTGGGCCAGATCTACCAGCGTCTTGGAAGAGTGAAGGAGGGGGAATGGGGTCAATGCTATGGTTTCTATGGTTTGTATGGTTTCCATGGTTTGTATGGTCTCGATTCCATGGTTTCTTGTGTAATACTTAGGCAGGACTATACAAAGTCTGTAGCACTATGGATCCTCAGGAAACCTCATGTTCTAGAACATGTACGTTATACTGGCTTGGGCAGTCATGCTCCGGCCATCGGGTGCTCTCGAACATGAAGGCTACTATGGCTTGGGCATGGATGCTCCGGTCATCAGAATCTCTCGAACATGGACGTTATTATGACTTGGGCATGGATGCTCATGTTCGCCGGACGCTTTCAAACTTTGTCGATAGTGTGGCTTGGGCATGGATGCCACGCTAGCCGGATCCTCTCGAACATGGACGGTATTATGGCTTGGGCTGCTCTGGTCATTGGATGCTCTCGCTTTGGCATGGAGCTCCAAAATCGACAGCCCTCTCACGGCCATATTCCCGCTGCTTGGCAAGAACTAGCGCAGCCCTGCTTTTTGCACGGCCTGCGAAGTGAATCCTCCTTTCATGGAAAGAAACCGGTCCCTGCGCCAAGTCCACTAACGTTTTGTGTCAAGGTGGTTTCCACCAAGACAGAGGGAGAAGTTTGGACGAATGGGTCGATGAGGAACATAAATCAGAACTCCTCACACCCTTGGACTAACAGGGCGTAGCTTGAAATAATGGGAACGATCCTGGGACTCATGGGGCGAATCTCGGATTCATGGGGCGATGACAAATATAAATCAGAACTCCTGATACCCTTGGACTAATGGGGCGTAGCTTGGACTAAGTGGCGCTGATAGAAATAAATCAGAACTCCACATACCCTTGGACTAATGGGGCGTAGTTTGGACTAAAGGAAGCGATACTTGGACTAATTTGATACCCTTGGACTATTTGGGCGAAGCTTGGACTCATGTGAAAAAAGTAAACCAGAATTTCCGACACGTGTGGGTTGCTGGGGCGTATCTTGGACTAATGGGAATGCTCCGGGAGTAGTGAGTAATGAGGGCCAAACTCGAACTAATGGGGCAAAGCTTGGAGTAATGTGGCGATGGTAGAAACAAATCAGAACTCCTCGTACCCTTGGACGAAAGGGGCGTAGCTTGGACTAATTGGAATGATTTTCGGACTAACGGGATACCCTGGGACAATTGGGGCCAAGCTTGGACTAATGGGGCAAAGCTTCGACTAATGGGAAGATGATAAAATTAAATCAGACCTTCTCACACCCTTGGACTACTGGGGCGTAGCGTGGGTGAGTGGGAACGATTGCTGGACTAATGGGAACGATGCTTGGATTAATTGGGCGAAGCTTGGAGTAATTGGGCGAGAATAAAGAATAAATGAGAACTCCTCACGCCCGAGGACTATGGGGGCGTAGCTTGGACCACTGGGAACGATGCTTGGATTAATGGGATACTCTTGGACTACTGGGGCGATGATAACTTTAAATCAGAACCCCTCATACCCTTGGACTAATGGGCGTAGCTTGGACTAATGGGAACGAGTTTCGGACTAACGGGAGACCCTTGGACTAATGGGGTCAAGCTCGGACTAATGGGGCAATGATAAAATGAAATCGTAACTCCCCACACCCAGGAACTACCAGAGCGTAGTTAGGACCGCTGGGAACGATACTTGGACTAATGGAATGTGAGAGGGCTTATGGGCATAGGCAACGAGCACTCGAGAAATAATTAGGTTCGAGTCAATTTTCCCAGTATATTTGCTCAGTCAGCATCATGGACGACGTTCCGCAATACCTTTACTTAGCCCGGGGAAGACATCTTGTGCTCCAAGATGACGCTTTTCTGATATTTGTGTGCCAAATGATGCTAATCGGTGTTCCAAAATGACGCTAATCTGTGTTCCAAAATGACCCCCTCCCCTGAAGGAGGCCAAGGCCATGTTCGAGAAAGCTACTTCGCGTGGCGATGGCTTCTCTGCGTCTGCATATTTCAACCTTGCGCGTTCGAAGCAACAGGAAGGCAAACTTCAAGAGGCAGAAGAGCTCTATTGGCAGGGTCATCGCAGTGGACATCTGATTTCAACTTATAACTTAGCGAACATGATAATGCGACGAGGCAACTATGCCGAGGCTGAGATACTCTACCGGGATGTGATCAGAAGGGAGCCCATAGTTTCCCTGATTCCAAGCTGTTGGGAGGACGACGAGCACGTCTCGAATGCAATGAACAACTTGGGAAGCCTCTTGGATAAGCAGGGAAAGAGAGACGAGGCGCTCAGGATGTGGGTGCGCGCCGCCAAACGAGGCAACGAGGACTCATTGCTCAACCTGCTCCTGTTTGCGCGAAAGTCTGTTGAGCCAAGAGGCGCCAGCGCCGTCGAGGATGTGGTTCCGAAGTTGCTGTCTCAGTTCCTCCAAAGCCCCTCAGCAACAAAATCAGTAGAGACCTTCGTGGAGGCCTTGAAATCCTTGAAGTCTCCGGAGGAGCTGAGCTTCTCGAAGGGTTGCCACGTGATTCTGTACGGCCTGGAAACCGATGCTGGCAAAGCGTTGAACGGGTGCCGAGGTGTAGTGCTTGGGAAGGACACCAAGACTGGTCGCTTAGCCGTTCAAGTCGACGGTGTCGGACGCAGGCTCCGAAAGCGTGCCAACTTAGCCTGGTCGCCTTTCCCACCTGAAGCCTCCTCACGGAGCAGCCCCCAGATTGATGACCTCGGTGCAGCTCTCGAAGAAAGCAGTCGCCAAGCAGATGAGCGTGCTGCAGACGACAATGCCCCGCTGATGGAAGCCCTCTTGCACTCAAGACAGCCTGAGAATCATGTTGGTATCGTTGTCCTGGAGTACTCCCGCAATGAAGCCTGGTTCCGCAAAGCTTTGGCCACGGCTCCAGAGCTTGCGGAGCGGCGCCAGGCCATTGAGGATGCTGGATACCAGGTTGAGCTCAGCTGCGGCGCAAAGTGCCTGGTGCCGGCAAACATCTTCAAGCTTGTCGAGGAGGACTTGCAGAGGCGTGGAGTGACCTTGAGCAAGCGCCATGTTGTCGTTGACGCTGCGCTCGAGGCGGTTGTGGCGAAGGTCATCAATGACCACAGCGAGGCGCTGACTCGTCGCGAACGTGGCAGCTTCAAGCTGAAGGGAAGGTCCAGTATGGAGGTGGACATGGAACCTCCCTCGACTCCTTCCAGTTCAGGTTCAGAAAAGCTGCCCGTGAAACGCACATTCATCCAGGTGCAGATTCCAAGTTCCATGTACTCCCTATCCTCAGAGCATCCTCACACGGCATAAGTGACTCAGGCAGTTCTGTCCAATGTTGTTGAGTGAGCCATGCGCTCTTGGGTATCAGGTCCTAGCCTGCCAGCCTTCTTAGCACAGTTGGTGTCATGCTTGACGCTTGACATGTTTCTGTTTGCAAGGTAGTAGTGCCTTGCAGGTGGAAATGCCATCGGCCCCGATTTTGTTCATGTATAGATATGTACAGCCAAGGCTTCGCATTTAGCAAGCTGTATGAGCCCGTAGCGTGTGCATTCATGCAGTGCAAAACAAGCGCCCTGTAGTTCTTGCCTGGGCCATATGTTGACACGGAAATGCGTGTGTACTAAGATTGTGTGACTATGTTGCCTCCCTACCTCCAAGATACTGGGACCTTGGTTGCCAGGATCCTCAAAGATCATACGTTTGTCATGTCCTATGCCTTCTAAATAAAGTCCTTTCGTAATCCTTAGACATGGAGGGGCCCGAATAATTATCAGCCATACAGCGTAGCCTAATAAACCCCCTCCCCTCAATAGGGATCATACTAGGGATCCTAATATTCAGGCCCTTAAAAGGAGAGGGCTGATTAATCATGGGTCTACATTACCCTAAACCCTAAGTCCTAAATAGTAGTTTCCATTTTCTTCTCCATAATCCCTATATACCCCCCATATTACACCCTTATATAATCTCTATAATCCCTATTAATCATGGGTCTACATTACCCTAAACCCTAAACCCTAAATAGTAGTTTCCATTTTCTTCTCCATAATCCCTATATACCCCCCATATTACACTCTTATATAATCTCTATAATCCCTATTAATCATGGGTCTACATTACCCTAAACCCTAAACCCTAAATAGTAGTTTCCATTTCCTTCTCCATAATCCCTATATAACCCCCATATTCTACCCTTATATAATCCCTATAATCCCTATTAATCATGGGTCTACATTCTGAACCCTAAGCCCTAAACCCTAAACCCTTAACCCTAAACCCTTAACCCTTAACCCTAGGGGTCCCTCCTATTAATCATGGGTCTATATTACCCCTATCTTGAGAGACCTGGAAGTGAGCCAAGGCGTTGGCTGGCTGAGCACCTTGAGGAGCTAAATGAGGAGCGTGAGAAGGGGCCCGGCCCTTGGGTCTTCGGTGAGGTTGGTTTAGGATTTAGGGTTTAGGATTTAGGGTTTAGGGTTTAGGAGTTAGGGTTTAGGGTTCAGGATTCAGGGTTCAGGCTTAGGGTTTAGGATTTAGGGGTTGTTGCTTTGTGTCTAGGGCTTGTGGGCTTCGGGGCTTAGGGTTCTGGATTTGGGGTGTGTGCGGGGGTTTGCTTGCCAGACAGGTTAAGGGTTCAGGCCTGGGGCAGGAAAATTGTTGGAATCATCCAGCGCCACCGGCAAAAACCCCGATCATTAGCATACTGCGGTTCTTCTTGTAAGGTCCAGGCGAGTAGACGGTACTGGTCGAACTGAAACACTGTCACATGTCTGACAGACGGAAGAGTTCCTATCGACTAGGAATCTTTTAGGATCCCATGCGTAGTCAAAGGCTCACGGCACTCAACATGTTTTTTTGGCTGGGCTCAGCTTGTAAGCAGGACTCCATGAACATTTTTCAACGGGAGCCTTGTTTCCCTGCAACGGACCCGTCATCAAGCGCAGTCATGTTCGCTTGCTACGTCCCCAACCTTTCAAACGCACCGATTGAAACCTCAAAAACTATATCTCGAGTCCACAGAAATCAAAACAAGCTCGCTACTGAACTCCGAGACCCTGAAGCCCTGCAACCCTCAACTGCAAGCCTGTCAACATGAGCAAAGGCCACCACCTCCTTTAGACCAGGACCGCCTGGGCCCCTGGATTTTTTTTGTTGATGCTTGGGGCTGAGTGGCGAGTGGAGAAGAGCGAGCCTCAAAACATTGCTCTTTTTGGGTACCTTGTCTATGTATCCATTAGAGGCTGGATTATAATGGGACCAAAAAGGGGCCACATTCTTGACGATCTATCTATCATGCCCCGTATTTCGGTGCCGTGCAGGGGCCATGTTTTGGATGAAGGCGTGGGTACTGAGGTCTTCACTGCAAGGAAGTCATCATTGCTGGTAATCAGCCCGAAGCCCTCATCCCTACATGATGCAGGACGTCCTGCATCCATCCTGAAAAGAGATCTTACGTCTTGGGGATGTACACGGTGTAGTCGACTTGATATCATGCGGGTGGGGGGATGTTCAGCTAAACCCTGAACCCTAAACCCTAAACTCCTAAACCCTAAACCCCTAAACCCAAAATCATGCCCCCAAGCACAGTAACTGTGCTGGCTCTCTGAGGCGAAGGATGGCACAGGGCTGAGAGTGAAGCAGAGCTGACGTACACTTGGGGCTTTGGGTGTTCAGGGTTTTAGGGGTTTAAAGGGTTTAGAGGAGAGGGCATGCTTTTGGGTGAGGGTTTGTGGTTTGGGGGGTTTAGGGTTTCCAGATGGGAGCAGGAGGAGCATTTGCGATTTCGAGTTCGCGTAGAAGTACGTCAGTTGACGCCTGGTAATATGTAGAGGCGGTAAAATCGGAGTGAGGTATCCGGTGTATAGCGCCGGAAGCTCACCTCAATCCTTCGTATGTTGTTTTATCTCATGCTTCCGGCAATTGATGTGGATATGCGTGTACATTGCAGAAAACTGGTTGAAGGCTCTGCCCAGTTGATCCCCGTCGCTTTCCCCTTTCAACTCCCTGTATGTGCTCTGCTTGCTGTGGCTCTTGCAGAGTACAGCCAGAATCACAATCTCCATGACTGCAGTTGCTGAGGTTTCGCCACTGGGCCCCTGCTGGCAACACAGGGATGGGCAAGGCAGCTGTTGCATTGGAGGGGGGAGGGTCGCGACACTTGCCTGGGCATGTTGCACTTCCAGCAAGTTTCAGTAGCCCTCAACTGTGCGAAAGGAGAGCCAAAAGTTATTTCAAAAAGAGCTTCGGATAAGAGGATGCCGCATATGTTTCTGCCTGTTGCAGCTCCACAGTCTAAGAGTCTAAAATGGAAGCACAACGTATCTTTCAGTCAAACAATAAACCAGTACGCGGCATTTGCCAGAAACTCTCGAAAGATAGATCCAGTGCAGCTCTCCCCACGTTGAGCAGGCTGAAGTGCTTCGGGCCGTCGGACCCTCATGCGGTAGAGGAAAGGGATGCAAAATCTGGGTTTTCCTTACGAGTGCTTAAGGGCGTATGGGGGAGTGGATCCTTATCATAGTCCCTACATATATACCCTTATAGTGGTACCTATACTCACGCTCCCACTCCCTTTTTAAGCACCAGTGGGTTTTTGTAAATGTCCCACTTAACTATAATTATAGGGATAAAGGAAAGAACATGCAATTTACTATATTATATTAGGGGTATATATACTTAATTACCCAATAACAGAGAATCAGCAAGTCATATTCATTTAATTACCCAATAATGGAGAATCAGATGGAACAGAAAATGGAACATGAAATGGACACTAGGGAATATACAGGGGTTATTTGTGTGTATGTATGCATCTATGAATACTAGGATTGTGTAGGTTTACATGAGTTTTATAGGGCTTGTCCCACTGCCCCACATGTTGGCAGCCGAAGTGAGTAGTATTTTATTTGGGAATACTATGGAACCCAATATAGAGTAAGATTGTATCCTCCTTTTGGGGTATAGTATTTTTGTACAAGAAATATAATCTTACTGGGTTTAACCACCAAAACAAAGTTCCTCAGGTGCTGAAGTCCTGTGGCACCTCGTCGCTGGAGGCCTCGGCCGTAGCGGCCAGCCGGCTACTCAGAATATAAAGGTTTAGGGTTTCGGGCTTAGGGTTTCGGGTTAAGGGTTTAGGGTTTATGGTTTCGGGTTTAGGGTTTCGGGTTTAAGGTTTCGGGTTTAGGGTTTCGGGTTTAAGGTTTAGGGTTTAGGGTTTCGGGTTTAATGGTTTCCATTTTCTTTTCCAATATCCCCAATGTATACCCTGATTAAGTATAGTAGTTTCCATTTTATTTTCCAAAATCTCAATATAATCCTAACATAGCCCGAATATAACCCCAATATACTAGGTCCCTTTCTCAGCAAACAGTCGAACCTGGACACTGCACAATGTACTCGGCGTTAGGATTCCAGGTTCAACGCTGAGGAGCTTGGCCTGTTAGAATATAGTAGTTTCCATTATCTTTTCCATTATCTTTTCCATTATCTTTTCCAGTATCTTTTCCATTATCTTTTCCATTATCTTTTCCATTATCTCTATATAACCCCAATAGATACCCTATCATAATATAGTAGTTTTCATTTTCTTCTCCACTATCCCTATATAAATCCCAACAATCGTCACGGTAGTCCCATCCCTAGGCCTGAAGCAGGAACAAAAGCTGGCTCTGGGGACTCGATACTATAAAATGGTAAATTCTTGTATATATTAAAATATGTGTACTGTGGTGTGCTATGGTGTAGTATGGTATGTTACGATCCTGAAAGATGCATATCATATTGTCATGGAATGCCTGGAGTGCACACCAAAAAGGAAGTCCCTGACTTGACCCACACTTCGCATTGTTGAAGTTGCACTTCGCTGGCCCTGCTGTAGTAGCTGGCCCTGTTGGAGTAAAACACACTGTGCGGCACTGCTAGACTGCACACACCTGAAGAACTAGGCTTGGCTTTGGGGGTGGCAGGCTTCACTGCTTTCGGGCTTGGGGTACAGCATGTCTACATATGTCTACCATAAGTGTAGAAGAGCGATGGAAAGTTTGCACTCCTAGTTCCTCAGGTATCTACATTGCGCCATCTACGAGAGCACAGGCGGTGTTTGCTGCTTGGCAGAGTATCTCGGTTTAGGGCTTTAGGTCTCAAGGGCTTGAGATGGCTTCAGGGCTGAGTCATGCACACGTCCGGATAGAAGAAATAGGGTGCAAGCTTTAGGGTTTAGGGTTTCAATGTTTCTGAGGAACCCCTACCAGGGGCTTTCTGTTGATCTTCTGTCTTGGGCCAATGGCCAGCGGCAAGCGCCAAAAAAG